ACAGACAGACAGACAGATAGATAGATAGATAGATAGATAGATAGATAGATAGATAGATAGATAGATAGAAAAAACAGACAAATAGATATATGGAATGACAGACAAAAAGACAGACAGACAGACACACACACAGTTTCAAGAATGTATTAAGTTTCAGAAATGTTTACATATGTACACATGTTAAGTTGTAAGCCACTAGAAATAAAATTCTGTTGAATTAGATAATATTAGAATTGTTAAACTATTCAAAGTTGTTCGAGTTCATTGACCTTAATCAATAATTCTGCAAAATAATAAGGCTTTAAATCAATCAGTTGGATAAACCTAGAGACATTCCAGCCGGTGACAGATTTACCTGTTGAGTGTGTTTGCTCCAGTGTTGTGTTCCGACACTGTGCGCTGCAGTCTCACTGGAACCTGATAAATAGCTGCTGAAGCTTTAAAAGCACGAAAGGAAAACATGAAAATACAAAGTTTCCAAAATCCCTCACGCATGGTCCGACGTCTAACAGCTCTTCCCATATTCCCTGTGCTTTATCTGATGTTATAACTCCTGCTCAGACGAGTTGTGTTCAACGCCTGAGTGAGTGAGTTATTGAGAGACCTGACGGGTGAGGAGAGACAGTCACTGACTAGAGTAAAATACAATCCCCTCTTCTGGAGTAAAAACACTGGCTATGTCTCATAACCTGTCTGGCTGCCTATCTAGTACCTACTACATCATAGTCAGCATTGCCAAAAATGCTGCAGGCGTCTAGGTACTGTGTAATCTATATGCCCAAATCAATACAGGGAGTTCTAAAATACAACCAGAAGGGGAAAATATGTATTTAGTTGATAACAGATATTTCAAACATACAATGATGATACGTGAGGACATATTAATATATATATTAAAAAAATAAATAAATAAAAAAGAGCGAAAGTAATAACTATTTTTTTTTATGAAAATGGTGTTTCAGCGCCACATGTCGGTCAAACGTTGGGTAACACCACAGATACTGAATCTCCATACATTTTATGTTTGGATAATATTTTGAAATATTATTACAATTTAAAGCAACAGTTTTCTATTTGAATATATTTTAAAGTGTAATTTGATGTGATGTAATGCTGAATTTTTCAGCAGTCATTATTCCAGTCTTCAGTGTCACGTGATCCTTCAGAAATCCTCAAGAAACATTTCTTATTACCAAGGTTGTTGTGCTTAATATTTTTGTAGAAACCTTAAAACATTTTTTATAGGATTTTTTGATTAATAAAAAAAAGGGGGGGGGGGGGGAC